GGGGGAAAGGCTCAGGGCTGGGGTATTTCTCAGATGTATTTAGCAATGCCTTTCCCTGGCTGCCCCTCACTGCTGCCTGCAGACCCCGATAGCCCCTCTCTAGGGCAGAGCCCTGTGAAAAGCCACTTTTCTTTCGGGGGAAAAAAAGCAAATTCCGCCCCAAATCACACAGAAAGAGGTTACTGCAAGCTGTTACTGGTACTTACTGGCAGGTAGGATGGTTCCTTTGAGTTTGACAGAGTGAAATTGTGCGCTTGTTTTTTTTTTTTTCAAATGGAGAAAGGTCATTTAATGCCCCGGATAAACCCCGGGTGCTTTCCTGGGGATGTAAGTAGGAAGGTCCTAAACCTGCGCGAAATGGTTGCGTTTCCTCCGTCCATCGGTTGGCGAGGGAGATGCAGAGAGCAGAGGCAGGCTGGAGAAGAAAGAGTGCTTCACCTTAACTAGGGAGAAAAGAAAATACTTCCCTGCCCTTTAAAATAGGAGCTGTTGGCACAACCAGGACAAGCAAACTGAATCCAAATTGAGTCCTCGCCAAATTATGCTTTAAATTATAACTCCGCTGTGGACGCTATAAAATCAAGTTTAACTTCTGCTTGATGGATTCGGAGAAAGAATATAATATTAATAGAACTGGGAGTTAATAAAACAGGACACACTGCTCGCTTTAAAGGCATTTCCCTATGAGAAAACAGGCCTGAATTTAACTGCTTTCCTTTGAAGAAACATAGGACTGTTTTCTAGAAAAAAAAATAATCATGCAAATAAAACAAAAGCAAAGCAGAAACATGTAAGTACAGTAGTTTGGGAAAACTGCCACGTTAGGAGGAGCAGGAATATTTGATTGTAAATCGACAACATCTGGTTGATAAGAAATGACATCTGCGTATCCGTCTCTGTCAAAACAGACGCACTGACAAACGCACGAATCCCTACAGACAGACACGCGCTCGCACCCCACCAGACGCACGCACCCGCACACAGACACCACTACATATTTTACAACCCCCCCCTACACATTTTACATTCGCTTACATCCCCCCCCACCCCCGCCACAGGCATTCCTCTTCTTGCTGCACTGAATCCTTGGGGGAACAAATAAAGAGTGGCTGGAGCCCCAAGATAAAGACACAACTGAGAAAGATAGAGCCATAAAAATAAACCAGGGAATGATCTACCCTAAATGGCATCTCCCTCTAGGGAAGGGAATAAAATTTGTCGCTTGCCCCAGTGCAGATGGAGAATAATAGCGGGGCTGGGGCGGCGTGCAGCCGATGCTGCCGACGCTGGCTGTGTGGAAGGGGTAGCATCCTTCGGCAGAGTTGGGTGGCGAGTGGGGTCTTTTCCATGGGCAGAAACCTGAGCTCAGCTTTCACAGCTGCGACGTTAGTTGGCAAAACATATTTTCATGTTGCGATGCAGACTGTGTTTCCTGTCGCCATAAACGATCGCAGTCCCACCGGTCTGTGTCTGTCTGCGTCGAGGTCCCCAGGGAGGGTCTGTCCGTCCATCCCTGCAACTCTTTGTCAGTGCACTACCTATTTTTTCCCATTTACAGCCATCTTGCCCTCATTTCCACCCATCACCTGTAGCGCATCCTTCACGCAAACTTTCCTATCCGCACAATCCCACACCATTTGCATACACCAGCACATTTTACACACGGTTTTTACACACCCACATATTTTACACACCCATGAGCACAAGCAAATTTATATATGCATGGTTTAGGTTCCAAGAGTGATACTATAGGTACATTCTGTTACAGTATTAATTGTATGACTTGCCCACAAATGCATTTGAGTCTATTCTTACACAGCTTAGAGAAATACTTGCCTGATTTCAGATCCGTCAATTTATTTCAATAGCACAGCTGCAGTCCCAGTGTAGGGCTTGTGCTTGTTTCCCCTGATATTTTAGACAGCCTGAAAAGACATTTAAGCCCACTGGGATCTCCCCCCTCCCCAGCCCTACTCCCCAAAAGGAGGCTTAAGCTACGAAGAAAGTTTTGGTAGAGTTTTGAGCGCAGTTGTCAGCAGCTTGGTCGATCACCTCCCCCCTCTCTGCAACCCTGAAAAAATACCCCCGAAATATTGAGGTGTTAAAATAGGTCACATGCACATTTCATTTCCTTGCCATTTACACAATGGGTGCTTGCAATCAGGTTGATTCCCAAATATTAACTTCCCCTGCAGTTAAGTACCATTTTGCTGTAGCTTAAATCATTGTGCTACTAGCTCATATTTATTAGGTACGAGCTCTCTGCTTAGGACCAGGAAATGAACCCTAATAGACAGAAATAATTAAGGTTCTGCCCTCATGAGGGTTCTTTCAAAAGCAAGAATTCACAACAATTATTCTCATTAATTTTTACAACCTACTTTCCCCGTTAGCTGAACTTGGGCTTTATATTGGTTTTCCCCCCTCAGGATATCCGGTTTTATGCTGATTTTTTTTTTTTCCTAAGTTATTTAACATTCTTGGTAGCCCAAATTCTTTCAAGGAAACATTAGCCCCAGCTGGGATGCTACAGGCGCCCAGGAATGCTATGCGCACCGTAGCGATGCGGAGAACTAGGGAAGGGCCTGGCTGAAGGCTACTCTGATGCACTCCCAGATAGCCAGCAGGCACAGGGGAACGTGTGGGTGGGCTTTCTGAATATGTAGGTTCATCCCATCCCCTGAAAGACCCCTGTACTAAAAGGGCACTATTAGGTTGGCCAGGTCAGCTGTGCTCCATCCTGCCGAATTTTGGAGAGCTGCCTGTGCTGCTCTCCCCCTTTTGCCACTCTCTTGAGGCGTCTCGTAGGGCTGTGTAGGTGCAGCCGCTGCCGGAGGCGGGCAGGTCCTTGGGATGTTTTGCTCAGTTCTCCTTGTCTTTTGTTGCAGTAGCCACCTCCATCACTTCAGTAGGAGCCACCAACATGGTGGTCTGGCTGGTACCCCATGGAGTGCTTCCATGCAGAGAGGTCTGGTCCAGTCTCCTGAAGCTGCCCTGCAGGGCTGGGTCCCTCAAACTCTCCCTGCCCAGCCTGGGGCCGTTGGTCTTCCATAGGAAGAAAGGGCAGCCTCTCTCCTTACTCAGGGCAGGCTCTTCTCCAAAGGGGGAACCCCAAGCACTGAGAGAGGCTGGGCTCCCTGGGGTTAAGTGAGGTGAGACCACGTATCATCCCTTCATCACCAGGACTGGTGGCTTCTGTGCAGCCCTCGGTCTCTCGGGGACCTTCTTCTCTCACTGACCCTCTCTGGGGCTCCTCACTTCTCTACTCTCAAAGGCTTTGTCCCATTCCAGGCTTCAGTGGGAAAGTGCTTCCTTCAGGAGGTCTTGTGTTCTTCCCAACCTGTGTCTGAACCAGTCTTGTCTCCCTCTGCCCCTTTGTCCTCAGTCCTGTCTCTGCCCCCCTGCCAGCCCCGGGGCAGGGTGCTCAGCCAGCCCCAAGGCCCCAGCCCCTTTTAGTCCTCAATCCAGCCCCCCTCCCCAAGCTCTGCAAGGACACCCTGCCTCTCTCCAGCCTCCCCCCCGCCTCCCGAACCACCTCCTCCCCCCCACAGCACTGTGCAAGGTCTGTCTCTTCTCATCCTCCGTTCTTGTCTCCCAGTTCAGCCAACAGCCTCCTCAATGAGCCCCTCTGTCTCACACCAGTACCTTCGACCAGGCACTGGCTCTCAGTCCCTCCCATTTCCTTCACTGGCTTCTGGGTTCGGCATCATCTCCCCCTTGCCAGCAGCCCCCCCTTCCCCTGGCCTTTACCTTGGGCTCTGAGTCCCAGCTCCCCATCCAGCTCCTCCATTTGGCCCAGCCAGACGTACGCAGCCTCAGCAGGCACCTTGTCTTCATCTATTTCTTTCCTTCCCACTGCTCTGGTTTGGCTTCCTCCTCCATGCTGACTCGGTCTCCACCTGGGGGACGTGAGAGTGCAAAAGAAAAAGGCTCTGTGCTTTCAAGCCTGAAGGCCAGCCTCCCAGTTGCTCCCAGTACAGCTGGCTGCAGCGGTGGCAGGGATGGTCCTGCCCCATCTCTGCCAGGCTGAGCAGGACCATGGTCCCCTGCAGGGCAGGGACAGCACAGCATGGGGAGGGTTGCGTCTGCTCAGCTCAAGGGTAATCCCCCCGACCTTGTCACGACTAAATGGGGAGACCTGAACGGTGATTTTTTTTTTCCCACTCAGGCTTTCACGTTGTCCAAGTGGAGCAGATTTTCAAAAGAAACTAAGGATCCCCCCCTTTCAGAACGTGAAGTCCCTTTTCCAAAATGCCCAGCCTTTAGGATAGTTTCAGAAAAGCCCAACAGGGTCGGGGTGGGGTGTTTTCCCCTAGCTGAAGCGCTCAAAAAAAGTGGGACCGGTTGATGGTAAAATAAGTAAATAAAAAGGAGCCCAGGGCATATACCTGGTGTATAACATTTCAGCCCTAACAAGGCTTTGTAAAGATAGAAACAATTGAGAAAAAAACCTTATTATGGCAAGTGCCTGACAAAAAAATAATACTAAGTGGTAGTTTTAACCCCGGCCATAACAATATTCATGAGCCTATAGACACATGCACCCATATAAACACATGGCCGTGCAAAAAAAAAAAAAAAAAAAAAAAAGTCAAGCATCTTTCCTCGACCTAATGAGATGCAAAGCTAAATTTTATCATGCCATTGGAAATGTCTCAGCAGAAGTGCTTTGTGGTCAGTTAGCCCAGAGAAAGGAGCGTAGAGGAGCGGCGCTGAGATTTCATTGGGAACTGTCGCTTCCCGTTAAAGTGAAGATGAACCCTTAGGTCAGACAAGGCCTGAAAAGTGTAAATCTGGAAGGCTTCACCCCAGAAAGCTCTTGCCTCAGAAGGGTCTGCAGCAGCCTTAGAAATCAGTGGTCAGAAGTGAACTTTGCCATCAGTTTGTTTCAGTAACAAATATGTAAACAAAGCCCTACAGTTTTATTGAATCTGTGCTATATAATTTAGCCCTGGGCACTCTGCCTTAATGACCTTGCAGGACGTTGTATTTTTTTATTTTTCATGATGTAATTGTCATTTGACTTTCTGACAGCTTTTGCTCCCCTCCCCCAATGAGTTACAGTCAATTAAACAGAGTTTCGCTATGGCAAAGTTGATCCAGAAGAGGGTTATTTCCACCCATCTGTTTGCTTTTTCCACCTCTGAAATAGTTTGTAAGTCAGACAAAAACTGGCCAAACAAAATACCTTCCACAGGCTGCTTGCTAAAGCAGGGATTCACCAACTTTTTCTCTGTTTTCTATTTTGTTGTGTACGGTTTTGTGAAATCTGGCTTGGACTCTCCTGGCTTAGCGCTAGGGCTGATGCCAGGAGTTATCATCTAGCGGAACTTTGTTCAGAAAACTCCTGCGGAAATCCATCTGAAGTACCCCAAAGAGCCGAGACCTAATTTCAAACCTTCTGTAGTCCCTGGTTGCTCGATGCCTTCAACCTAGCAGATCTCTAATTTTAAGAAGGCTGAAGTTAGCCGTGCTTCACTTGGGGCTTTTGCCACCAACACATACGTTAATACCTTTGCTTCTTCCCAACGAGGGTTGGGGGACTCCTCTACTCATAAAGCGACATATTTGCAAGATTGAGGTCCCACACGATATTTTGTCTGACATCTTGTGGGTGATTAAAGGTTTGATTCATCAAACAGGGCATTCATCGAAGGTCCTTAAATTAGGGACTAGCGCGTTGACAGCTCCTTCTCTGATAAACAGAGAGCATTGGGGACCTGTGAAGGCAACGCTACCCAGCTCAGAGCCCCATGCCCTCTGGCAGTCTCCATCTCCCTCCATTGATTCCAGCAGGAACACCGGGAGACGAGGTTCCCAGTGCAGGCGCCTTGGTTAAAATGCCTTCGGTTAGGTTGGGATGAATCCGGCCCTTTGTACATTTGTGTGCTGGTGCCAATACTGTAAATCCTTGCTCAGTGAAGGACTTCACTTATGCAAGCAAATATTGCCATTGGGTTCGGCAAGTGAGGACAACTCGTACATTTAGTGTGCTTCAGAATGCAAATTGCATAGAAACATTCAAAAAGTTGAATAATGCCCATTATTCATTACAGAAGTGCTACCATCTCTCCGGTGGAAACCGATAGGCAGTTTCTTTGCAAAATACACAGCTGGCTGCCTACTTCTTCAGGGCTTTTAATTACAAAATGTGCCCCTATTTTACTGCTGGAGAACGACTCCGATGGGACCAAACAGATTGCTTCTTCAGCCTTCTCTTTGAAATCGGAAATGCGTGACAAAAAAGGTGCAATGCCCTGTTTATGTACTAAATTAGGTCCTAACTTAAGGGAATGTCTATAGGGACAAGCATTGGGGCGATGGGGTCTTTGTGTGAGATTTGGGGCTGAATTAGGCAAAAATGGCAGATAAACAAATGGCCTTTGGAAAAAAATATGCTGTAAGACCAGAAAATAACAAAATAACCTGGTCGTGCAAGCACCTGGCGGGGTTTGCTATTGACACTAGCCAAGCCAGATTTTTCTCTTTGAATTTTGGCAAAGAGGTGAGTCCAGTCATGTGTGCTTGACTTGGTGAACACGAACCTCTCTCTGTTCTCCCGCCATTAATCTCGAGCTCTTTCCTTCCCGATGGCCAGCTTTCAATAGGAAGGAAGGACAGTGTTTCCATCAAATGCGGTGAGCGCATGAAGTTCCTCCAGTGGCAAACACAGGGTTGTCCCTCCTCCTGGGCAAGTTCAAGTGTCTCCTCCAACTCCCGGCTGAGGGCTCAGGCTGCCAGGCAGCGATGGAGAAAGAGAAGAAGGGGAACTGTTGCCCCTTCTGCCTGAATATTAGGGCATTGCAGCTAGATCACACCTGATCCAGATTCAATCCTGCTCTGCAAAGACACCAAGGCATTTGCAACAGATTTGGCACGGCAGAGTGTGTTTGTACAAGATCAGCAGGGCATTTGAGGGTGTTGCTGGTCTACAGTTAGTATTTGCTTAAATGACAACCCCTGGCTTGAGAAAACCTCCTCCCCTAAGCCCTCAGGAGAGGTATGGGAAGGTTGCACCTCTTTGAACAGCACAGTTGCTTTGGGTAAGGGTACGTTCTGTACAGTAGCTGCTTTAAAAGTTTAACTTAGATGTAAGAGGACCAAAGTTAGGAGTCTGAGCAGGATTAATTCCAGCAAACTTTAGATGTAGAAGGTAGCCAACTAAGCAAGCAAACTAGTCCCTCTGAATTCCTTCTGGAATTAATGGGGAGACAAATATTCCTCCAGGGCACGATGGTCAGAGGTGGAGTTGCCCTCCAAGTGCCTTGGGTAGTTAGTCCATGCAGTGCCTACAGGTGTGGGGCTTGTTGGGAAAGGATGCCAGATGCAGGGCACCTGCAGTACCTTTAGCTGGTCTGAAATAAAGGAAGGGTGAGCCTTACCAGGCTGGGGGAGAGGTTTTGGTGTGTGAGAGGTGAGGTTTTGGCCATGGCTGCACGTTGATGAGAAAATACTTGTGGGATTTGTTCAGGCAATGACTTGCATCCCTGGTCCTTTGGTCAGTGCAGCCCTTTCTGTCCCAACAGTAAGAGGAAAATAAGTAACTCTAAGAAAGCAGATTTTCTCCAGGAAGAAACTTGTGTGTGTGCAGTCCCACATGTTAGCTCTGGGACAAGCCTGAGAGAAACGAGAGGTTGTTGACAGGAGATATTTTTCTAGTGGAGAAATCTAGAGGAAGGCCCATCTGGAGTGGTCGATGACTTGAGTTCCCGAAAGCTGTGTTTTCCCCCACATCCCTATTGGCTTGGGTTTAATAAACAATATCCACTCTCTCCCAGGCTATGCCTTGGACTTATGATGAACCCATTGCATTTCCTCCCTTTCAGATCACCCAGCTCAAGATTGAGAACAACCCCTTTGCGAAAGGTTTCCGCGGCAGCGATGACATGGAGCTCCACAGGATGTCTCGGATGCAGAGGTAACGTGTGCCTCCGTTGTGAGGACCTGCTCAGGACTGTAAAAGCTGCCTGGGCTTTGCTTTGCATGTCACTTGTGGATTGAGCTAAGTCAGGAATTAGTGGTAGTTCTCCTCTCTGGCATCTGCTTGTGAGTTTTATGTCAAGCTGTTGAAATATCATTGGGATGTGGAGCCAAAATCCAGGACTTCCCACTCCGAGGTGAACGCCTTAACTGCTGGGTTACAGGGACAGGATCTCACCTGTGGGTTGTCCTCTTGGCAGCAGGGACCTTGTATTTCTTTCTGACATGTCCCCATCCACAACAACTGCTATCTTTGTGCTAAGCAGATGTCTCTGTGGCTGCATGTGGGCTTAAACCTGTTGAAAGCAGCAAGAGACTTGGACTAACTCTGACAAGTGAGAAGCTCTGGTCACCAAGCTGCTGCTGAAGAGTTGTTGGGTATTTTTTGCCCAGGTGGCAGTGCTTGAAAGATAAAGCTTGCAGCCTTGTTCTGGGAGCAGGTTTGTTGAGGATGCTCCAGCTGCCTCTGGAGATCTTGGTGTGGAGATCTGTTGTGCTGGTTTCTGGCTTTCGGAGGATCTTTGGCAGGAGCAGAGTGTTTGCTTGGTTGGTTCTGGATGTGCAGGGCAGGAGCATAGACATGGTGGTTTCAGGTTGAAGAAGGAAGGTATTAGAAAATGTTGGGAACTGTAGGGCCAGGTGGCTGAAGAGGTCTTTTTGACTCTCAGTTTTGGATGCAAGTACTTCAGCTGAAAATCAAGCCTAAATCCTGTTTAAAACCCCTGTTTAAAGTCCTTTTCTAAATGTCAGGTCCTGCCGGTAATTAACTTCATGCCTTTCACTTCACTTGGAACTTCATCTATGTGTCAAGTTGCTTCCTAGTGCAAATGTTTTGCAGGAACCCTGCCATACCCATGATTATACCTAAGACAGATGTAGATACTCAATATAGTATTTTCCATCCAGGAGGGCAGGAGTGACTCGGATCCCTTATTCTCCGGGACCAGCGGAGCTGGCTCTCAGCGGAGGGCCGTAGGGACCTGCGTTGTGACCTTCTGCTGGGAGGGCGCTCTCTGCCACCTGCCCGGGAGGTGGCTGTAGGTGGTCACTGCAGGCTGGAGTGCAGAGGCAGGGGCCCTTCTGGTTGCCATAGTTGATGACCTGCTCTCTGTAGATGTGCAAATTGCGCCAGTGGGCAACAAATAATGCCTGTGCTCCTGCGAACGCTTACACCGTAACCCTACTCAAATGGGCAAATGTACTCCTGTGTACAAACATTTTCAGGCTCAGACCCAGAAAAGCCTATATATATAAAAATATATATAAATGTATATATAACACTTACTCAATCTAAATCATCTCTGTGGTCTTCTGAATGTGCCCTGTGTTCCCTGCCTGCCCTTTCCAACGACAGCACAGATCCTGGCATAATATGTCAATATTTATTTATTTATGGGTGCACTACCACTTGAAATAGCTTCCCCCCCTTCCTTCCCATGCCAGCCTCCCAACCTCTACTGGAACTTGAGTAACGCTGTCCCCCGCACATTTCTTGCTGCTAAACTACCCTTTCATTACTGTCAATGGAAAGATTTGAAGGTTTACATTCATCGTGGGGTTTTTTGGAGTGGGAGGGAGGAGGTAAAACAGTGAGGACTATGAGAAGGGCTTCATGCCATACGAAGAGCATGGCATCTAGCCATGCTGAGCTTGTGCTAAAAATTGCTTGGCATTTTTATGCGGGCCTGCGGTTGTAGTCAATGATACAGTGAACAGAAACACTTGGAATATGTAAATACACCCGCTCAGACCTGGCAGGGTTGAAAGGGTTAAAATCCACAGCATTGACCTTACAGGATAATTTCTGATGCTCGCTTCCTTAATAACTTATCTTCTGTGCTGATAGCACAGGAATGACTGTGTACCTTTACAAAGATGTCATTTTTTTAAGGGAGAGCAGGATAACATTATTACAGTAAAATAAAGACCCATTCAAGGTTGAAAATATTGGACAAATATGTACCCACCTTTGTGGTTTTATATATATTTATGAATACATAAAAATATAGATATTTAAATATATGAAAACATATATAAAATAAATTATATATGCAATTTGGTTCTTTTATATAAAAGATAAAGAACCATTCAGGATTGAGTACGTTGGAGAAGTATGACCTACCTTTGTGGGTTTATATAGGATTAACATATAAATATATATAAAAATATAATTATATAAAAACTTATATTTTAATATAGAAAGGTATATGTCCATATGTAGGGAAGTTATTTCCCAGTGATGGACCCACTCCCCAGCTGGCAGGTATAAGTAAATCTCTCTTGGCTGTAGGGGAGTTGTGTCTATTTATGCCCTTGGAGAACATGGTGGGACGTATTTTTAGTGCTATTCCTTCATTATAGAAAAATCTAGCTGGAAAACCCACTCTTTTTTAGAACAGTGCCCAGCCTTTTGCACCAGAAACTGGTGACCTGAGATTCATCAGGTCACTGATCATCTCATTAAGGGGTATAGTCATGGAGGGAATGGATTTTTCATGCTGAGGAGAGCACCTCTATGTTTTCTTTATTTAAATTTCAAATGTTTCTTATTCCCATGAACAGGGCTATTGCAGAGGGGCACCTCCTAGCCAAAAACAGCCCTGGGAGAAGCAAACCCCAGCAGTCAAGGCTGAGAGGCAGTGTTGACCCAACTGGGTGCGTGAGCTGGCTTGCGGCATCCCAGTTCTGGGGAAGGCTGGCCCCAAAACGTGTCCCTCTGCTCACCCCGCTATGCTCCCATACCTCGGAACAGCCTTGGAGGCCCGAGCCCTGGTGAAGAAGTGCTTCCAGCACTAAACCTTCAGGTCCTAATGGTCTGCATGGAGCTTGCATCAGATGGGAGTAGGTGCATGGTGGTTGAAGACGCCGTCTAGAAGCAGTGCCCCAGGCTGGGCTGGTGTCTAGGCTCCCTCTGCGCAAAGCAGAGCGTGATGGGCACTTTCAGAGGGGAAAGCTACTTTCCCTTGAGAGCTCCTGCCATGGATGGCAAGGTGGGTGAGGAGCCCTCCCTCTGCCTGTCCCACCTAGGGAGTCTGAATGATTTTCTTGGTGTAGATTTTAAATAGCTAAGATTACATGAGATAAAGTCCATCCTAGTAGAAAGACTTACCGTCTGGCCAGCTCTGGTGTCCTCCTTGCACGTTTGGCTGTCAGATGATGGGAGACCAGTTTGCTGGGTCCAAAATGATTTCACTCACTTCAGAGCAGGTCTTGCAGTGGGGTGAAGTAGAAGCAGATCTAGGTGCCGGTAGAGACTTGGCCCAGTGATTCATCCATTGAACACCTACCCTTGGCAAACGGTAGGGACTTGAGAGGAAGGAAGACAAAGCAGGGAAGAAAGACAATTTCCAGTGCCAACAGTGAGCTCAGAGCGAGGTCTTGGGTTCCTCGTCAAGGATTCTCCCTCCATTTCTGCTTGCCTCTGTGTGCTCTGGCCAAGCGAGAGCAACACATTGGGCTGAGTGGCCTCTGGGGACAGGAGCTTTGCAGGGTGGATGGGGATGTCTTTGTGAGTCCATGCCTCCTGGTGGCTTTCTCCTCTGCAAGGCCACTGTGTTGTTTTTTCTCCTCCTATTTCCCAGGAAAAAAGTTATTAAGTCTGTCCAGGTAGAAAACTCCATTCAGTAGTGATATTCGGCCTTTCAGCAGCAGATGATTTCATTTGAAAGGAATAGCCATGAGCTCCAGAGAGATCCAAGTTCCACTGAACACAGCCTTCTGATACATGTTAATTTTCCCCCCACTGCCTTTCTTTCCTGAGACATGTGGGACCCCTTTAGCGCTTTCTTTGGCAGGATGAGTGCTCTGGGAGAAAGGTGGTTTTTTTTTTTTTTTTTTTTTTTTCTTTTAATAGCTTTCAAGTTTCTGAGCAGGAGATTAAGTTTGTTATTTCCTTGATTTACATAAAAAAAAAAGGAAAACACACTAAAGGAAAATGTGTAGAGGGATGCGAGTTACGCAGCGTCTGTATCCTCTGCTCATGCTGCAATTGAAAAACATAAATTAGGTAAAAATTATGTAGTCATGATGCTGGGAATTTTTAGGCAAAGTATTCCTTTTGGATCTCTTGCCCCTCTGTACTGTAAAAATTCCTTTTGTCTCTGCTTAGAACTTCTGCCTGTGCCAAGGGGAATTTGGTGTGGAGAGCAACACGCAGCAGAAATCTGCAAAGGGTGAAGCTTACGCAGAGAGATGATGAGATCTGGATTGCAGATGCCAGTGTAGGACTTTGCCCCCAGTTCCCCATCCATGAGAGTCAATGGAGCTGCACCAACAAACCATAGCTGTTGGGTGATTTGGGGGGTCGCGCGCAAGTTGTAGCTTTAAGGGTTTTTTGTTTGTTTGTTTTTAAAAAATCTGTGACTGCCAAAAGACAAGGGGGGGGGAAGTGTTTGTGAGTCTGGGACTACAGCACTGTAAAAGAGCAATTCCCTTAAAGTCTTTAACCAACTTTTGCTGATCATCTGCAACTCCCATTGTCTTCAGCGGTTATTATGGGTGCTGAAGAGCTTCTGGAAATCTCAGGCCCTAGTGACTGTTCATTCAAATTAACGCAGTTTGGTCCTTGAAGCTTCTTATTGGGAAAGCTTTTGAGAGAAAAGATGATTATGTGAAAGGGTGGCTCTTAGCTCCCTTGATGGGTGTCCTGGGCCCTTTCAAAGTGAGACAAAGACCTGGAATGATCCACTTGACAAAGAAGAGTGGCAGTGTAGTTCGAAGTTATGTATATGTACTCTCCATCAAAGATCGTGAGCCATCGTTTGCTGCCTTTGGCGTTAATCCACAGTAATCTTCCTGGCTCCAAAGGAATTATTCCAAAAATGTCCTGGTGTAACCGAGAACAGAAACTGGGCCAGACGCAAAGGACACAATCAGTACCGTGATTCAGAGCTGGCTTAACAGAGAAACGGTGCATTTTGGGGTGCTGGTAGAATAAAT